AACATATAAATCACATTGATGTGATGATCAATAATTTTACAAAATGAACTCTGTGTCTATCAACAATTATTACTTCCTACTGACAGGGGAGCATGGATAGGGGAGATGGATTTATATACCAGCATTATCAATTTGTATTGCTGCCTATCCTGTAATTACAACACTGATTGGTATATGCACTGTGTTAAAAAACAAAATCAGCAATTACTAATAAAATAATATTATTCAGGCACAAGTCCAACTCAACCATAAAGAATACAGAATCATACTGATACAATCTCCTAACCTCAGAACTCATGCCAAGGGAACATCTGGTCTTCAAGGACTTAAGAAACGCTACCAGGGTCATGGCCCTGCAAATCTCAGAGAGCACACATTTTAACAGAGACAGAATGCTTCCTGAGTCCATCTCCAAAAGGCTTTGGTTAATAGAGAGGGTTGGAAGCAATGTCCAATCTACTGGACATAATGGGCAGAAACTATCATGGAGAGTTGATTCTGAAAACAACTTAGCTCCTATCACAAGGAGTTAAAACAGCACCTTGAATTTTACTCAGAAGCCCAGTGAAAACCAATGTAACTTGTGGAGCAGTAGTGTAACATGGAAGCAACTGCCTGTTCTGGATAGGTTGCAACTTTTGAGTGATCTTCCAAGATAGCCCTTTGTAGAGTGACCATAGGGTACAAAACCTGAAGTCTTAATCTTCTCCCAAAAGCTTTCTACCAGCCTACTTAATAGTTTAGCAGTTTCCTTTACCATTACACAACTTCCACAGCACAACTCTTTTGGCATCTTTTCCCTAACCCTGATGTAAGAGAGAACAAAACAATTTTTTTTAGCAAGGCTGGATTAAAGGGATACTTCCCCCGCCACAGGTCCTCATGTGGTGCAGAGGTTTCCTAGGAGGGATTTGCAAAGAATACTAGATTGTATGCTAAAGCACGCAGCCTTCTCTATTGGGCAGTAGTGATACAGAAAGATGTTGGAAGCAGATCATTTTCATGAAAATGGCAAAGTCATTTCATACTGCTTGGGAGAAGGCAGCAGTACCACACTTCTAGTTTACTAGGAAAACTACTTCAGTAGATAAGATAAAGCAATTAACAATATAGAGTTGGACGATAAGCCTTTCAGGTTAGATGGCAATCAACATGCTATTGAGGAAGAGCGAAGGTTGGAGTACTAATGATGTTATGAGGTAGCTAAAGTCCTTCAGTTGCTGATGTTGCCATGCAAGAAAAGAAAATCTGAAGCTGCAAAGATAGAACTAAAGTGGGAACATGGAACATATTGTAAGAAACATAAAAAAGATGGAAAGGCTTGATATGGTGAAAACTGGAAAAAAATGACATTTTAAATAACAGCAAATTGAAAAGATTGGAGTTGGACATTTTCAGTCAATCATATACTGTTTATTACTCAAGACACATAAACCCCCCCCAAAGGAATGGTGTAAGAAAGATGTTTATGTCTGGAGTCTACAATGCCAAAGTTAGAAACAGAAAGGAAGAAAGTGTAATTGGACTGCATAGCCTAGAAATGAAGCAGGAGGGTGACTTATCAGTTTCTGCCAATCTCTTTATTTCTAATAAACAACCAAAGCAATACAAACATCAGCAGACGAAGTACACAAAAATTAAACTGGCCATATTACTGGTAAAAGGAGGTGAAATATCTCAGTTAAAATAGGAAAGCAGGTTTTGATTATGGTCACTAGATGAGGACTACCTATATACAGTATTTTATCATTAGCCTCAGCAGTGTTACTACCTGGCTAATCTCACAAACTAAACAGGATTGCCTAATTAAGACTGGGTGGAACATCACCAGGTTCTTTCAGGGGGTAGATATAAATAAAAATGGATTGTTATTTAGTGAATACTTATTTATATAAAGTGAAGAGGCATTTTAAGTGAGCCAAACAATCCTTCAAATAATAAACAATAAAATAAAATATATTAGGGACAATTCCTCTTAAACAAATATATATACTTAACAGCTTTCCCAGAACCCAAGTTAAACACATTAAGGGTATAACTAAACAATGATGTATCCATGATTTAGATATCCATACCAAAATAAGTCTAATTAGAAGTGATCATTAAAAAGTGTTTATGGTTGCCAAGCAAATTATTTAACATTTTAACAAAATTCTTAAGCCCCAAATATGCTTATTTTAAAAGATTAAACAGTTAAGAAATCATGATTTTTCATGCTACCTACTTGTTCTTTATTCTTTTAGTCAAAAAACAAATCTTTGCCAGCAGAAGTTCTAATAAATATCCTCTTTGAGAATCTCCTAACATGTGCAATTCATCCACAACAACTATTCCTATAAAAAGGGATGAAGAGAGGGGAGAATGGAATAGTTACAATGTCAAAAAATCTTTCCACAACGATCCCATTAGGATTATTTTCGCCGCTCAGTTCTTTTGTTTAAGGATCAATTTGGCTTTAAGGAAACATTTCTTTGGGCAGCCTTTAGCAAAATAAAAAAATTACCTCACCAGATGGACTCACTTTCTCTTTTCACTTCCTTCCTTCCGAAGCGTCCTGACTTCATCAGCCTAGGGGCTGCCTGTTCACCGAGGGCTTGAAGCACTTTTCTTGGGTCTATCAGGGATTTTGCGATATCCCTGAGACCAGCAAGGCTTTGTCTTCTTGATCACCGTCTCTAC